TTTATTTTTTTTTAAACTGACATGTTATTTGGCATTGTTGGCAAGCTTGGCTCAAGGGAATTCAAGACTGAAGTAACTAAATATTTTGCAAGTTTGAAGGTCGTATGTGCTAGGCAGTGTAGAAGTAGACCTGTCATCAGAGCAGGATTGCTGATTTCGCTGTGTCAACTGCTAAAGCTCTATGTTAAACGGGATATAGATTTCCAGCAGAAGTGGTCAGTGAGAGGGTTGTGTTGTGTAACAGCGTGATGTACTTTTGGTAGGAATCAAAGTGTGGCGTTGGTCACCGTGGCAGAGATGTCCGCAGAACTTTGGGGTGCCTGTATCATGCTTGGGGAATTCTGGGGCCTGCGAGGCTCCCGCAATTCCCTTTCTTTTCTTCCTTTTTGCGTTCATAAGCTATTTTAAGATTCCCCCAGTTGCTCGTGCTTCCTTACTTCTTGCCATTGCAAGCATAGATAGATCCTAGACCTAGATCTATCCTAGATCCTGTAGATCCTAGATCTGCAGAATTCTCAGTGTTGTATTAGAAATGGAGCGTGCTCCTTCTGTATTTGCGAACATCCCTGTGCTGTTTGTGCGTTGCTGAAAACGCAGCAGGCCTCGAGAGCTGCACCGTACGAGAGATGCACCGTATGAGAGCTGCAGGGGACGGAGGCTGCGAGCTCTGCCTGGTGTTTCCAGGCCTGTAAGAGTCAACGTGCAGTAGCACACTTAGTTATGAATGCAGATCTTTGACGTTACGCCGGGATCTTTAGAGACTGAGGACCTGATGTTTGAAAAGATGTAAACAGGGATGCTTTTGAGGATTGCCACGTGTTGCCCAGTTGCAGTCCTCCGTATTTTTTCCCCTGTCTTTTGGTGTTATTTATGCATATTACCCATCCTTTTCTTGTGAAAAATGGGAAAAGAACTGGTGCGGTGAGGCTGGCAAGGCTGACGTTCAGCTCTCCTTTCCGATGCAGCAGTCCTTTGGGATGTTGTGTGGTAGAGGGAGGGTCCTGAAAAACTTGACTTTATCGTGCCATGGTGAAGCATTACCTTTTTTTCTGGTGACAGTGTTTTAAGGCAGTAGCTTGCCAAGCATTTCTTCTTTTGGCAGTAATATCAGTAAACAGCTCCCATTCCCTTCCCAGCTGCTCATTTTAGTGCTCTCTCCTCTCTTGTGTTGGCATAGTTTTTCGTGCAGCTGCATGGCAAATCAGATCGGGGAACTGATCCAGTTAAAAATGATTAATTGTGGGGTTTTTTAATTCTTTGTGGGTTTTCAAAAATATGCCAAGCAGCGATAAAAAGAAGCATATCGTTATTTCTATAAAAGTAAGCTCAAGTCTAGTGTTTCTTCATTAATTGGAGGACTACAAAGTATAAGTCATAGCATTTTTTTTTTAAAGTTTATAGTCTCTCAGCACTGAAAAAATCTTGGAAAATGCATCCTCCCACATCTGTTTCTTCTGATCAAAGTCCATGTCTCAGCATCTGTGAAGTAGTTCTCCTTCAAGATTATTCTTCAGCTGGAGCTCGTGTTAAGCAAAAAAACAGTTGATGTTAAATTTGTCATGCTGGCAGGGAAGAAAACCACAAAAGTTGTAAGAGTTTGCCGTAGGGCAGCCTTCGTATTCTCACCGGGACCACGTCTGCTCCTAGAACAGGCTTCGTCGATAGAAGGGGAGGGAGTTTGCATTTGATACGCCTCCGTGTACGAACGTGCTGGCTGGGGGAGAGGAGGAAAAGCACGGGAGCTGTGAGTAAGTAGTGCTAAGCGTTAGGGTAGCCATGCTGTTCTCGAAGGTGCGGAGTTGAATACGTCTCAGTGAAGCCTGGTGAACATTAAGCCTTGCTGTCGACAGTGGAAGAGTTGATCGGGATAGCATGGGACATCTTCCGTCGTGGCGGGCAAAGCTGACCGTGATTTCCTGTAAGCATCCAGGAGAAGGTCAATATATCCTCTGGCAAGGGTCTGCTGGAGAGGCCAAAAGCGACGCCTGCGTCTACGTAACAAACGCCGTAAAGGGTGGAGAGCTGTTGATGCATCCCGGCAAGGGAGGAGAGCTGTTGATGCATCCCGGCAGGCTGAAGGAGCTGGAGCCCCACAGAGCCGCACCGCTGCCCTTGTTTTACCCCGTTCCTTGTCTGGCACTCAGGGGGGGATATTTTTTTTTTTTTTGGATCTGCATGACAGCATGGACTGCTTGGTTTCGCGGTGTTTACGCTGCAGGGTCAGTTTACAAGCTTGTGTTTGACTGGCTTGTAAACAATCAAAGTAGTTTTAAATTTCCTCCGTATTTTTGTCCCAGTAACTATTTCAGTTTGTGAAACTGAGTGCTTTTTACTAGCAAATCAGATAGGTGTGTCCTCTCAAAGCATCTTATATGTATTTTGCGGATGCAATTATGGTTTTTTACATAACGTCGAAAAGTAGATTACCTGTTTTGATTTCCCATATTTTAGGGAGTGTAGGAAGAGGAAAGTTTGGAAGTCTGGGTTTGGGGTTTTGGAGCGTATGAAACGATAAACAAAGCTTACACGTATGGCAATACCTGTCTTCAGGCTTGCCTCGCTGGTGGTGCCCACCCGTGTCGAAGCACTCCGTGTCTCGGCTGAGCTTGCATCCTCCGGAGTCGGCAGGCATTGCTGAGACCTGAAGAGTCCAAGTGCAGCGTTGGTCACTGCTGTTTGTGGCAGTTTATGCTTCTGAGGACTCGGGTGTGAAATACAACCTCAATTTTTCTTGGCTTCCATGCCTTTTTGTTGACCTACCACCATTTCTTACCCTTTACTGTTAGCTGCTCCCTCTCTTCTCGTGGAAGAGGGGGACGTGCAGAAGAGGCATCTCTAAAATATTCCGGGCATTTCAGAGGGGAGACAGGTTTCAGATCAGGGTGACACCAGGCAGTGGGATTAAATAACGTGCCCAGTCTGTTTTATAGGCATTGGCGCTATTTGTCATTGGAAGGCTGGCTTTATATGCACAAGTGATGGCTGCTGTCATTTGATGAGATGGATTAATTTGACTGACAAGTTTTGATGGGAGGATTTGTGCCACTGGGGATGGAGACGTGCAAGGCGATGCTTTTAAAAAGCAGTTTTAGCTGGCAGAACTTCATAGGAAACGCCAGGCTGAAGTTGTGTGCACCAAACGTTGTGTTATGCTGTTCTTTTGTGTTCAGTACTTAGGGTTCACATATCCAAGAACTGTGCATATGGCGGTTGTTTTGGTTTGATTTTTTTTTTTAATAAAATGAATGCTAAAGTATTTAAAATTGCAGACGTTCATTTATTTTCAAGAACAAGCAATGAATTTTGTGGTAGTATTCTAAAAATACTGATGTACTTAAAAGAAAATTTAACAATTATGTCCTTTCTGGGTAAGTTTTTAAGAAGGTTTGTGCTGTAGGAACATGCTTTCAACACAGTATTTACTTCCCTTAAAGAGTTAGTCTAAGCTTGCGAAGATAACCTATGGCCAAAATCGCAAATTGCCATTCCTCCTCCTTGGTCCGCCTTTACATCTGTAACAAAAGGGTTTTTAGGGGCACCGTTGGCTGCTGTGCTTGCGTTTTCTTTGTGGAAGCCATTCTGCTGAGCTAGCCTGCGTATTCTTGCAACTTTTAACTGCAAAACCAAGTAGTGAAGCAGATTATCAGAGAAGACGCTTAATTGCCCACATGAAATTGGGTTTATCCTGCAGTAGTATTGCTGTCAGCAAACCTTGTAGTTCTGGACCAGCTGCTGTCACACAACACCATCACATTAACAGCGAGTGACCATTATGTTCTGCTTTAATCTACTAAATAGTCTTTAAAATACTTGTTCCCAAAGGGATTTAGTGGCTTCTCTTACCAAAGTAAAATTCTATAAAAGTACTTATTATGATATTACCATGATTATGAAGTGCATTCTGATGGGATTAATGTATAACATAAAAATCTAAAAGAACCTATCTTTGAATTTAGTTTAAATATTAAATCGGCAGGTTAAAATTCAATCTGAAGGCAGCAAATGCAATGTATAAAATATTTAATTTGCTGTTTATAAGCTATTTTAATAGAGCTGTAATATTTACATGTGATTAACATGGCTCTTATAAAAACTTAAAAGCACAAATAAATAACACTAAGCCTTATCAGTTAATATATAGAACGATATGCTGCAAATATTAATCAGGGATACATTCTTTCAACAGAGCAGTCTGGTTTTTGTTGCCCCCACTCTGTGTTCTTTATTAATCCTTCCATGCCATTTATTTTTCTCAGCACTTGCTGTGGTGTTTAGATTTCCTGAAAAATCTAGTAGAAAAAAATATTCTAAAAGTGTGTTGAATGAGGAGATGGCTTTCCTTTAGAGTCCTAAAGAGATTTTTTTTTTTTTTTTTTTTTTTTTTGAAATCCCTTTGAAATTTTTTATGGGGATATCGTGATGAAGGATGTTACACGGACAGAATCAACTCTATTTCTGATGTAAGAGTTCTGCAGTCAGTGGACTGAGACCAGGGATTAATTCTGCCTGCTCTTTCTAAGAGGTGAAATCCCCTCCAAAAGGGTTTGAAAAGGGGAAGGGGTTTTCCTTTAGATCCCAAAAAAATTTTTTTTTTTTTTTTTTTTTTTTCTTGGAACATCCATGTGAAATATTTAATGGCACGCAAATGTTAGAAGACCTTGAGCAAACTCTAAACTAGGGCTATGACTTAAACCTGGAATAACTAACCAAACTGTACGGAAGCGGTTCCTTTTTCATCATTTCCAACATTACACTTCAAGAGTTGTTTCTGTTTTGGGATCTTCTAAATACTTATCGCATCTGTTAGTCCAGTGCTGAAACTGTACGTAACACTTTACGAGACAGCAAGAGTTAGCGCTAATCTGTAGAAGACACTGCCTCTCAGTATTTTGTATGTGGAGTCTTTTTCTTTTGTGTGTGTGACTGAGACAGCGTTTGTTGCCTACAATCTGGACTTAATAGGGTATTACACTTAACCAATCTTGTTTTTCTTTATAGAAAAGGCTACAAATGAATATAACACCAGTGAGGACTGGGGTCTTATTATGGATATATGCGACAAAGTTGGAAGTACTCCTAATGGGTAAGCTGTATCTCAGCATTACAACGCGTAATTTCATGTTCATGTGAAGAAGAACACTGTTTCAGAGAGAACGCGTCTCAAAATGCTCAGCGTAGTCAGCTATGCAAAAAGTGCTACCAATCTGACACTTCTGCAAGCTTTACAGATACATGTAGTTGGCTTTGAAATTCTTTGAAAGAAATGTTCCAACAGGATTTCTAGTAGAGCAATTTGTGTATGCCAAGTGCATTCCAATTTTTATGGAGTTTTGCACAGCAGACCAAGTTATTCATATTTAATGATCTTGCATAAATTTCGAGAAACAACTGTGCCAGTAGAAAAAAGCGAACTAGTTTCTTTGCAGAAACTTAGCTAGCTAGGACAGTTAGCTGTTTATGATGACAAATTTGTCTGTGTTCATTCATTAG